AAAGCAGAACTGGACTGATAAATTTGTCAATGAAATGTAAACCAGTACATTTTATTCAAGAACTTTTAAAAAAGCACAAGAGGATTCATGTTACTTTTACTTATTCAAGAATAATTTAAAAAATTTAGAGTGGGGTTGGGCCGGTGGCTCATGATTGTAATCCCAGCACTTTGGGAGGCTGAGTTGGTTGGATCACTTGAGGTCAGGAGCTTGAGACCAGTCTGGCCAACATGGGTGAAACCCCATCTCTACTAAAAATACAAAAATTAGTCGGGCATGGTAGCGCACGCCTGTAGTCACAGATACTTGGGAGGCTGAGGCACGAGAATTGCTTGAGCCCGGGAGGCAGAGGTTGCAGTGAGCCGAGATTGCGACACTGCCCTCCAGCCTCAGCGACACAGAGTGAGACTCTGTTTCAGTAAATAAATAAATAAAAATAAAAATTTAGATTGGGGTACAGAGGGCTGCAGAGGTGTACCGATTATATGATATATGGAGATATATGGATGACCTCGAGGAAATAACCAGAAAGAAGTAAAAATTTTAAAGATAATTTAAAAAATTCTATGTGTACATATATGTGTATTTTCAAATGAAATCATGTTTATTGCAGCAACATGGATGGAACTGGAGGCCATTACCTTAAATGAAACAACTGAGACACAGAAAGTCAAACACCCCACATTCTCATAAGTGGGAGCTAAATAATGTGTACACTTGGACGTAGCGTGTGAAAAGATGGAGACTTGGAAGGGCTGGGGGTGCAAGATGCAAAATTACTAATGGGTACAATACGTATTATTCCAGTGATGGATATTCAGAAAGCCCTGACTTCACTCCATGCAGCAAACTATCCATGTAACAAAATTACAATTGTGCCCCATAACTTTATGCAAAATTAAAAAAAACCAAATGTGTATAATATATATTTTCTCAGACAAAACTAAAAGTGTAAGTAGGCTGGGTGCAGTGGCTCACGCCTGTAATCCCAGCACTTCGGGAGGCCGAGGCAGGTGGATCACCTGAGGTCAGGAGTTCAAGACCAGTCTGGCTAACGTGGTGAAACCCCGTCTCTACTAAAACACAAAAATTAGCCGGATTAGCCGGGCGTGGTGGCGGGCGCCTGTAATCCCAGCTACTCGGGAGGCTGAGGCAGGAGAATCACTTGAACCTGGGAGGCAGAGGTAACAGTGAACTGAGTTCGTGCCAGTGCACCCCAGCCTGAGCGACAGAGAGAGTCCATCTCCAAAAAAAAAAAAAAAAAAAAAGAAAAGTGGAACTAATGATTGTGTGGAAGCAAATGGTTTATTACTTTTGTAAATAACGCTAGAAAAATGATCAGTATAAAGACATTTGTTGAAATCAGGTTAACGAAATAATGGTTTTATAACTCTTAACTTTATGTGGTATTCATTGTTATTAAAATATTAATTTTTTTCTTTTGCAGATTCCTTTTCTCCAGTACTTTCCCCCTAATGTAACATTTTTCTGTTTTCCTGAATTCTCATTGCTGGCTTCCAAATGCTACCAGACTGGTAGGCCGTGCTGGGGTTGCCATTCTCCGCTTCACAGTCTGGAAACAGTTTCCAGGAAGTAAACTGGTAATATTTTCACACTCAGCTTTCTTATTTCCTTTACCTCATAGATCCCAATTCGGCACAGCCCTATTTTACAATGTTTATGAAAATTGTTTTCATATACTCTAGTTTTCTAGATTATAAGGTGTGAAGTAAATCTGGTTACTATTACTCCAGTTTATTCTGAAGTGAAAGAATGTATGTAATTCACTTTTCGTGTCATAATAATTGTAGCTGGATATTAATTTTTCAAGTAATTTCAGAATTTTGTTTTTAGTAATTGGTTTGTATAGCCTGTTTACAATTCTTCTGGTTACTGAAATGTTATGTTGCTATTTTGTGACTTTTAGTTTTATTTACTATGATTTCTATTAACTTATTTTTCCCCAATTCTGTTCTTTATTATTTCCATTAAATATTTTATTTATTTGCTTATTTTTTGAATTCTATTTCTATCATTTTTTATACTTACATATTTCCTTTCTGCATTTTTAGAATGTTTGTAAATTTTTGGCTTGCATAAATACTTTAACAAAACCTAAAGTTAATAAATATCTTTTCCCCAATATGTGGTAAAACCAAATATTTCTTTGAATCTGCCTTACTATTTTGGATTAAAATTTTAGGTCCAATTTGTATTGAATTATTTTTAGAGCCAATATTCTTTTAAATATATTAGTATATTTACTAGTATTAACTAATTACTTTGTTTTGCTTTCCAAATCTTTCCCGAGATGAATTTCCTTCCTACCGTAATTTCTCCTTTGATGTTTCTGTTAGTAGTGTTTTATGATTGATAAATTTCATCAGACATTTATTGGATCTTTTTGTTTCTTTATTTTTCTTTTTAGACAGGGTCTTGCTGTGTCACCCAGGCTGCGGTGCTGTGGTGAGATCACAACTCACTGCCGCCTCAAACTTCTGAGTTTCAGCGATCCTCCCTCCTTAGCGTCCTGAGTAGCTGGAACCACAGGTGCCACCAAGCCTGGCTAATTTTTTGTATTTTTTTGGAGAGATGGGGTCCAGCCTTGTTGCCTAGGTTTGTCTCCAACTCCTGAGCTCAAGTCATCCACCTGCCTCAGCCTCCCAAAATGCTGGGATTATAGGAGTGAGTCACCATGCCTGGCCTGGATCTTTTTTTTTTTTTTTAATCATTTATTTACTTTAATATAATTTCCTGTTTTCCACCTATTTCTCTGTGCTCATTATGAAGTAATTTGTGTATTTTTTCCATTTTAAGTATATCTTCAGATTTATATCATTTGCTTTTCTGTTACATCACTTATTACTCTTTCTCATAGTCCTAATAATTATTTGACAACTTTTTTCTAGTCTATTTTTATATTATACTACTCATTCACCATTATTTTTTATCTGTCCGTTTGCTCTTTAATTACTTGAAAATGATTTTTTTTTATGTCTTTTGGATTGTTCTACTGCTTTAACTAGAGCTGCTAATGTGAACAATAGGTTTCTGAAAAGGAATTTGGAGAAAAGAAACTTTATTTCAGTGAACAGTTTGCACACCAGGGAGACTATGTTTTGATGTGGTTGGTGATATGTATCTGTGCTATTTTCATATGATTAGAGTAGAAAGGGGTCTCATTTTATATTATTCTCTCATCATCGTTGCAGTGTATTGTTCTCTCTCTCTAGCCTTATGCGTTTCCTACTACCTTGTCTCTGATATCTTTAATTTAAAATTTATTTAATTTAAAACATATTTATTCTGAATACCGTGCATTTTAATATTTTGAAAGTTTATTTAAAAATAAAATGTGGAAATACTAACAAAAAGGCAATATTTCTATGCCATTGCTATATATTAGTTTGAAATGCCCTACTGAAATGATCTACTGAAATAATGGTGGTTATCTATTGACTAAAGTTTATCTGACATTCCCTAACCTGTATGATAGTAGGTTAAAATTTCAGCTAATATAATGTAAAGCAAACACAAATCGAAAATTTGAATGCAAGGGCTGTCGTCCTTGACAAATTGGAATATATGGTAAAGTGTACTTTGGTAATTAGATAACCAAGAGTTGAAGAATAATACTTAAACATGGAGAAAGTGTCCTCCTCATGTGTGTAATTGTTTGAGTTAGGGTCATCGGGAGACAAAAGATAAAAGCATAAGGAAGAGATATGGAGTGCATTTATACACACACTAGTTTGTACTTTTTTTGGCGTTAGAAGTTGCTGATATAGTTTTACAATTTTTACAGAAAAAAAATACTAGTAGAAAAGAAAATAACCAGAAAAACAAGTCATTAAAAAATGTTTATATTACTTTAATAATTTTAAATATATTTAAATCTCATATATTTAAATATTTTACGTTTTTTGTAGTACTGAAGTTTCATAGGCAAACCTGTCATCTATATATTTTTGTAATCTAGAGAAGATTATCCACTTCATGCCCTCTGAGAGTCAGAGGTTATGAAAATTCTGTGAATTCCAAGAATGGAGCTATTTCGAACTGGTAAAATTTCCTTTTCTGTTTCAGTTTCTCAGCTTGCCCCCACTTTTTAGTTAAGAACTAGTACTTGGGCCGGGCGCGGTGGCTCCAGCCTGTAATCCCAGCACTTTGGGAGGCCGAGACGGGTGGATCACGAGATCAGGAGATCGAGACCGTCCTGGCTAACCCGGTGAAACCCCGTCTCTACTAAAAAATACAAAAAACTAGCCGGGCGAGGTGGCGGGCGCCTG